GACCTGTCTATAGAGACAGTTGGCAAATGAGTGGATGGCTGGGACAAGAGGCGTGCCGGTGGGTGCAGGAGGAGGGGGTTCCGGAGGGTGCAGGAGGAGGGGGTTCCGGTGGGTGCAGGAGAAGGGGGTTCCGGTGGGTGCAGGAGAAGGGGGTTCCGGTGGGTGCAGGAGGAGGGGGTTCCGGAGGGTGCAGGAGGAGGGGGTTCCGGAGGGTGCAGGAGAAGGGGGTTCCGGTGGGTGCAGGAGAAGGGGGTTCCGGTGGGTGCAGGAGGAGGGGGTTCCGGAGGGTGCAGGAGGAGGGGGTTCCGGAGGGTGCAGGAGGAGGGGGTTCCGGAGGGTGCAGGAGGAGGGGGTGCCGGTGGGTAAGGGGGAAGTGCTGATGACTCTGCTCTCACCAGGAACATTCTGGGGACACTAGCAGTGCCTGTAGGCATGCTTCAGTAGAGAGGGAGGGACAGACCTGCTGCAGCAGGAAGGAAGAGAAGCAGAACGACCCCCCCAGAGGGCCTGCAGAGAGCCACAGCTTACAGCCGCTCATTCCCTTGGAAGGCAGAGAGGCTGAGTGCCCCTCTGTCTGGGAAGCACGGGATCCTCAGTGCATGGGTTTGGGGACACGGCACGGAAAAGCTGCCACTTCGTGCGAGGTCAGAGCCCCACATCCCGTACTGGCCAGTCAAGCTGGACATGTCAGGAAGGAGTGACCCAAGTCTCCCCCAGTCAGTCCCGGGACACCCATGGCCCATGCTATGTCCTTGGTCCTCTCCGTGAAGGTGCCTGTGTGGGGAAGGCAGCATGCAGCTCGGGCCCTGGGAACAGCTCGCTGGAATCCAGCTTGAGGGCTTATAGTCACCCTCCAGTGAGTCACAGGTGAGGTGCACAGGACCCGGGAGCCGGGCCTCACCCCACTCGTCAGCATCCCAGGATCTGCAGGCTGGCCTTGGCTCAGGGACCCCACGTCTCCGCAGCCAATGAAATGCTGATTGCTCCCAATTCTATGTAATTGAGTTTCCCTCACATGGGACCAGCGAGCAATATAATTTCTAGGATGATCAAACCCTGCCAGGGCCCGAGCACAGTTACTGAGTCGTAGGATTGCAGAATGAGTCCTGTGCTGCCACTGCGTTCCTGGGAGAAGATTGCTCCCCCAGGCCCTGGCACTGTCCTGTTGATGAGGTGTCTCAAGTGCCCCTGCCCCCTGCTGAGGTGAATTCTACTCCCAGCTCACCAGCTGGGCCACAGCCCAGAGAAAGCATCAGTTATCCTGGAGACCTTAGCCACCCCCCACTCACACAGTGAGCCTCGTGTTTACGGCCGCCCTTCTCAGAGGGACACGGACAACTGCAGCGCGGGCTCCTGCCATTGCACTGAGCAAGGAACGAGGCAGAATACCTGCTTGGGCTACAGCGTGACCACAGGGCTGCCACCAGCATCTGGTCCCCAGTGCTCCCAGAGAGCCTCCAGATAGCCACTGTGGTGCAGTCATGCCTGGTCCCCAGGGACTAAGTCCCCTGGGCCTAACCATGGGGAGACAAGGCCTAATAGTGTAGAGAGGCCCAGACTATTACATCCACCTAGGAACATGGGGCCCAGCTCAGCGGCAGATGGCACTGTGGTCCTTAAGGAGCAGGGATATCAGTCGCCCAGTGACTTGGCCTCATAGCTGACCCCAGGTCCAAGTAACAGAGATAAGGGAGCACTCAGTTGCAGGTCTGAGGCTTAGAGGGGGCAGAATCTCTCTGGGGCCCCGAAGTCTACAGAGAGGGTAAGGCTGAAAACAGGCAGAGGAGAGGACCAATGAGAAGAATTCACAGCGCTGGAGCCCAGGAGGGTGGAGGAGAAGGCAGGGCAGCCGCGGATGCAGAGACTGGGCCTGGCAGGCAGGGCCAAGCACTCTATTGACAATGTTAGAAGCCCACCGCCCCAAGACCCAGGGCTGTGAGGGGCTCTCCTGCAGTTCCAGAGATGTGAACAGCTTCAGAAAACTTCTCTGTCCATGGTGCAGCCTGCCAGGAAGGCCCATCTGGGGAACCCACCCTAAGAGTGTCTGTCTGGAGAAGGCAGAGGGCAGAGGAGGCCCTGGCCTGTGGACTGCCCAGACGACTCAACTATTGTCCCTTCCTGTACTTCTCCAACCCTGTGGTTCTCCCTGCTTCGGCCGCCCCTGATTCTGCTGACTTAAAAACTGTTCTGCCTCAGAGAGAAATTGAGGTAGACCAGAAGTCCCTCGAAGTCTGGGAGGAGATGCTTCCCACACTTCCCATGAGGACTTCTCCAAACTTCTGAAGGAGTTCAACAGGTTTGTCAACTCTCCAGGGAGTGGGTCCCCCGAAGGTGGGACTGCTCAGGAGTAGAGATGTAAGAGTCTGGGCAACCACCGAGAGATCCAGATCATTGGCCATTTCCAGCTCTCCCTGGCCTTCTCTGAGAGATAGGCTGCTGCTAATTACACCTTGTGGCTTTCCAGACACAAACCAAAGCCCCCAGCCTGACCCACAGAGGAAACCTCGACCTACATGCACTGGGAACCCAGGTTGGAGCTCACGGTGCATCTGGTTTAATGATCACCCGGTGCTATAATTAGATATTAAAAATCTCACTGTGCCTTCATAGAATAACGTAGAAGGAATAATAAAGTATCATAGTTATAAAGTCATCAAAATGTAATAAAACGGCATTACAAAGGCTTAAATTTTAACGATGGTTTTTTAGTATGTCACTTAGTATGTAATTAAAGTTACAAAATAATGAAAATGGAGCACTGTGGGGATCGGGGATGGGGGTTTCAGTTGAATCCACAGTGGCCAAGTGGAAAGTCAGTGTGGCCTCTGGAGACTATGGTCTCCATTAGGGGTCTGGACAGACATACTGACCTTCCACAGGCCTACAAAAGGGTCTGGAGATCAGGGGTTCAGGGCTAGGAAAGCCCACCTGTTCCTTCTCAGCGGTCAGGGTCTCTCACCTGACCCAATACCTCCAGGGACCAAGGGCTGCTCAGGTGTGTGTGGGGCACCATTAGGTGTGCCAGGTTTGTTGTGTGTCAGGCAGTGCCAGGTACAGAGGCCCCAGGTGTCCTGATCTAGTCCAGCAGTAAGCAAGCGACAGCATATAGTCTAGTCATAGGACTAGAGTGACCTGCCCCTATGCAGTCAAGAAGGGCAGTCCAGCTGGGCATTGGTGGCGCACGCCTTTAATCCCAGCACTCGGGAGGCAGAGGCAGGCGGATCTCTGTGAGTTCGAGGCCAGGCTGGACCGACAGCCTCCAAAACAATACAGAGAAACCCTGTCTCATAAAAAAAAAAAAAGAAGGGCAGTCCAGCGGGGGGGGGGGGGGGAGGGCAGAGGGGCCCGTTAAGGGACGTGTGAGCAAAGCCATGGACCCGTGGACCAATCACAGCCGCACTGCTAACACAGGGAAGCTTCACAATGCGGGTAAACTGAGGCCCCAGGAACTCTGCTCAGGCCGTGAGTCTTAGACTCAGCTGTTGGTCTCACCTGAGCTTGACGGGAGTCTCTGACTGAGCTGGAATCCTGATCTTAGACAGAGCCCGAATCCTGGGCCCTAATCCCAGCTACAGCACTTCCAGAGTTTTACAGAGCTCTGAGGGAACCTCTCCCAGCGCCTTCTCCCTGCTCTCCCTCCTTGCTGGTGCTGTGTTTTTGTTCTAAGTGGTAGCCATTCAGGGTGGGTGGCTAGGAAGGCATCCTCTGCAAAGTAATTCCCACAGGGGCCGGTTCACAATCGCCTATCACCCAGGCAGGAGCAGCCACCCTCACACCCCCCCTTCCAGCCTCCACCTATCTCTGACTTCCTGTTAACTCTCAGGTAGCCTCAGGGCTGTCCCGTGCTGTCCACACTTCTGCTCTGGACAGTTGCACTGAGCCCCTTCTCCCTCAAGTCGCCCTCCTCGGGGTCCTTCTCTGGGTGCCGGGACAGCAGTTCAGGGCAGGGCAGCCACACAGTCGGGGCCTGGCTGACACTGCAAGGTGTACCCCCCCCCAGGCTGCAGTGGCCAGCAAGTGTGCACTCTCCAGAAAGAAGGGGCCCGCTGCTGCCTCACTAGATCATCCTTAAGAAACTGAGACACCGGGGTGCCTCTCTACGGCCCCATAAATCCAGAGAGGAGGGGGCTGCGCTCCGAAAGCAGAGCCTTTTGAATCTAAATGGCCAATTTGGCCAATGAATCAATTTCACTGGGCTGAGGCAAGCACGGAGATGAAAGCAGTTTTTAAGACCCGTTTAAAGCAGCGAGAGCCTCTTTGTTCCTGCTTTCTTCATACTGACGCCCCCTAATATTTCATCTGTATTCATTTTTATGGCTTTCCAAATTATAGACGTCAGCTAAAAAACTGACAAAAGAGAGTACCAGAAGAGGAGGCAACAGCGGCCGGTGGAAAGAAAGGCCGAGCTACCCCACGGAGGTGAGGGCACCAGGGAGTGAGCGGGGCCCTCAGCCCACCCCTCTGGAGCCAAGCCCTGGTCTCCCCACATCCGAGCAGCAGCCTGAGGCCAGCCTGTTCTGACCGCAGGGCAGAGGGTCAGACAGATGTCCCTGCCAAGAGGAGCCCATGCTCTGGTAGGGGGAAGAGTACTGCCCCCTCCCCCTAAAGTACGTCTGACAAAGAAAGGTCTTGGGGTGCAGGGAGCCCAAAATGGGAAGGGCTAGAGAAATAGAGGGGTACCTCAGAATGGCCTGGTCTTCCTCACGCATTCTCCTCTTCCTTTCCGCCATGCCCAAGCTGTAAGCCGAGGTTACAATTGCACCCTTGGGGATCCGTCTTCTGACGGTTTGGAACAAGTCTGACCCAGCCAGCTGGAATGTAACTCTGGAATTGTCTCTGATGGACCAGGCACTGGCTGGGCAGTCCATGGCGTAAGGAGATCACGGGGGTCAAGACTTTGGGGCAAAACCCAGCAGGGCCAGTAGGAACATGTCAGCGTTTCCCTCCCGCTCTCCTCTGATGTCCTGTGGTGACAACACAACACAGATGACAAAGGCAGCTGCACTGCAATAAAACTTTATTTATAAGAAGTGAGCAGTGGGCCAGATTGAGCCACCAGCCAGGACCCTGCAATGTCCACACTGAGTGTTAGTGTGGCCCATTGCTTTTCTGTAACATCGGGTCCCAACCCCACTGCAGAGCAATGTCTGCCATCCCTCCGCTTTCCCTTTGGAGTTTTCCTATCTCCTGATTCTCCTCACACTTTCCCCCATTTTCTTTAAATGCTTGGACACAAACACATTTGTAACCGGAGTCTCCATGTCCTTAATGTCTACCTCTTCAGCCTCCTCTGTCATTTCTGGTGTGACCTGTCTCCTGTTTCTGGCCATGTCTTCTTACATCTTTGTCATCCGGTAACCTCGGTTGGGTGCTGGGCACTGCCCGGGACAGCACAGGGAGTTGGGCTCTGGATTGGCTTACGTTCCTTGGAAGAGTTTTGGCTTCGTCTGGCAGCAGCTACATCCACTGAAGGATGCTCATCTCTGGGGGATGCTTTGGGGGCCGCATCGCAGGCACAGGTTCATCTGTGAAGCCAGAACTCTGCTGAGCTCTGTGCTGAACTGGGCTCACTCTGAGCCCTCCGAGCCTGGCTGGGGGGACTCAGATGGTTGTGAGACCCTTGTTTCACAGTTCTGTGCTCTTTGCTCTTCCTCCAGGCCGCTCCTGGAGTCCCCCCTCCAGGGGACCCCGGCACTCAGGCAGATACCTGTGAAGTCCCCTGCACAAAGCACTCTTCTCTAGTATCCTCCTCTCCCAAGGCTAGCCACCTCAGCCTCTCAACCTTCGAGTCTGTCTCTCCTCCACTTAGCATGAGCGCTAAGTCACGTGGGCACCTCCTGCCGCAGAACAAAGAGTGGTCCCCTAAGGATGACGGGAGGGAGAGCTGATGAATTCTCATCTGGCCCCAGGGAAGCAGTGCCTCACCCAGTCCAACATCCGCTGTCCCACCACCTAGTCCCCAGCCTCCTGGACACTTCCCACAGGCCTGAGAGCCTCCCTTGGGGTTTCCTCTGGAGTGGGGGTCTCAGCCAGGCATGTTGCCACTCCGTGTCCCAGCGCGGCTACGTCTGTGCAGCTTTCCATTCGAGACAGAGAGCCAGTGGGGAGTCTTGACACGCTCAGTAAGGCCACCCGTCTCTCAGAGTCTAGGTGGGACAGCACAGGAACCGCTGCTTCACCACTGGCAAACACCCGTCCTCCCCCTGGTGACCTCACCCCGTCCCTGTTAGGAACCACTGCATTCGCAGCTCCCTGCTGCCCCCCCCAGCCCAGGCCTTCACCCCAAATCCAAACCCTGTTTTCTTTCCTCACTCCAGCCCACAGAAATGTGCCCTCTCCACAACTGACCACAGCCTGGCTGGCTGGGGCTAGTGTGTCTCCTGGGGACCCCAGGGTCAGACGGAAGCAAGAGGCGGGCCGGGAGCACCGCGAGTCACTCTGGACTCTTGGGAAAGGAAGGAAAGAGGGAAGAGGTGATTGGTCCTGGCAGCAGCTGCTCCTTTCTGCTAGCCGACGTCAGCCTGGAAGCCTCTGCCCATCCCTGGAGCTGCATACACCCGTGAACAACACAACGCGGTCCAGGCTGCCGACGGGGCTGGGATACAAATGGCCCTGCACACTGTGCCGCCATCATTCACGGAAGCACTCCGGCCTGCATCTCTGCCTGGCAGGAGCCACCCCCTCGCTCTGAGGCACAAGGTCTTAAACATTCCGTGGTCTTTAGTTTATTTCCGCCTGACCTCCCAGTTGCTGGGAAGGTGAGCCCATGTGTCCTCACTCGGGAGCTTCAGAGGGCTTGTGAGTGAGTTCACCCCTTGCAGCAAGGACATAACACACCACGTGGCCACACGGGGCTCGGTGATTGGACTATTCTCAACCAGGGCGGCTGCCTACTGCCTGCTCTGTGCCCACCCAGTTTCCTCCATATCTCGTGATGTCTGTGATCTGGTGTTTGGAGAGAGTAGGGCAAAGGCAATTTTAGCGCTGCAATAAGACCAGGAACATGACTCTCTGATGGTCTTAATGAGATTCTTTCTATCTCCTCTGACTGAGCCGGCAGACGGTAACCCCATGTATGAGGTCAAAATGAATGTCATTTGGTCTCCAGCAGAACCGAGTGCCGTCGCCACGGAGCTTGGCTAATCTGCCCCAGCATCCGACAGGAGTGATCAGAGGATACCTCACAGGAAATTGTTTTCCCTCCTTGTAACCATAGCAACAGACGAGAACAGCCCTGCTCAACTTTCCAGGATAGGCTTTGTCAACCTGTAACCAAACCTGGACGGCGAAAGCAGAGGCCAGGCTGGGCCAAAGGCTTCTCAAGGGCATCAGCATTTGAGGTTCCTCCCCTCTGTCCTGACCCATTGAACAAGAACAGTTGGCAACTTCCAGAGAGTGGAGTGGGTTATCAGGAGACAGCCTCATGGCACATTGCTGTGGGCTGTAGCATCTGCCTGGGAGGGTCTGACAGCAATTGTCATCACCCAGAACCTTTAAAAGCTCTGGAGTCAGGGACACACATCACTTACTAATGACACATAGCCCAGAATTGCAGAAATAACTGCTGAGAGAAATTAAGGGGCTCACTTGACAGAGAGGTGCCACACGCATGGGGGGGGGAGGCTTCCTGTGAGTTGCCTCAGAATTCCAGTGGGCTTTGGCTGGGTTGTCCTGTTTGTTCTAGAACATATTCAGAAACCATATTAGTCCATTTCCGTTTCTGTGACAAGACATCTGAGAAAAATAACCTCACAGAGAAAACGCTTGGTTGGTTTCCTTGCTCTAGGTCTGTGGCAGACTGTGGTGAGGGAAGCTGCTCGCTCGCCCCCAGGCAAACAAGCCGGAAGGGGGAGGGAGGCAGGACAAGGTACAACCGCCAAGGGCTTTGGAAATGTCCAAGTGGGTAAGTGCTTGCCCTGCAATCATGAAAGCGTGAATTCAGTGCCCAGAGCCTGTGTTTAAAGGGAAAGGCAGGCATGATGGCACAGGTTTGCACTCTGAGCAGTGGGGGTGGAGACAAGCAGGTCTCGGGCCGCACTGGCCAGCCCGTCTCACCTGACTTAATGAGTTCCAGGCTAGCGAGAGAACTCTCTCTCTCTCTGTCTCTCTGTCTGTCTGTCTCTCTCTCTCTTTGCTTCTCTCTCTCTCTCTCTCTCTCTCTCTCTCTCTCTCTCTCTCTCTCTCTCTCTCACACACACACACACACACACAGACAGAACACATGCCCCAGTGGCAATACTTCTAGCCTCCTTCAATCATGTCCACTTTCTACATTTCCCTACCCCTCCATAATGCCTCTGTCAAGAAGTAATCCACAGCCCCAGTGTGGTGGCACACACCTTTAGTTCCAGCACTCAGGAGGCAGAGGCAGGAAGATCTCTGTGAGTTTGAGACCAGCCTGGTCTACATAGCAAGTTCCAGGCCAGTGAAGGCTACATAGTGAGACCCTGTCTCAAAGTAGATAGATAGATAGATAGATAGATAGATAGATAGATAGATAGAAGATAGATGAATGGATAGATAGATGTTAGACGGATAGATACATAGGTAGATAGATGATAGATACATGGATGGGTGGATAGATAGATGGGTAAATAGATTTTAGATTGATGGATAGATACATAGATACATGATTGATAGATAGATAGATAGATGGATGCATGGATAGATGGATGAATAGATGGGTAGATAAATGTTAAATTGATGGATAGATACTTAGGTAGACAGACAGACAGACAGACAGAATGGATCCATTTATTAGGTCCAGTGCTCTCTGGAAACACCCTCAGACACACCCAGAGGAATGCTTTGTCAGTTTCACAGACATTTCTCAACCGTAGTCTGATCAATTAGGCAATGAAAATCACACCACCCAAGCCCTTTGGTCTCTGCCCCAGTACCCAGCTTCCAGCCCTCACTTGGCTTTGCTCGGGGCTCTTGGGTACGGACTGGAGTCAGCATGGCTGAAGCAGGTTTTGCAGGTGAGTTGCACAACCCCCTGTTGAGTCTAGGTTCGCCACCTGTAACCAGGAACCACACCGTGGTCACAGCACAGAATGGAGGCAGCGGGTCTGGGGACACCTTTACTAGCATTGAGCCACAGAGAGTTCAGCGAAGGACCGGGCCCCGCGATAGGCCGCTCCTACCAATCTTCCCAAGACACCCTTGGCCCCACACAAAATGCCAGCCAGCAGGTCCCTGGGCCCTCTACTGGGACACCACTCTCGGGCTTTTCCCTGACTGTCTTCTGACCTTCCACGGAGACAGGACCTCCTGTTGCCAAGCCCCCTGCAGCAGAGCTGGTCTCCTCGGGTCAGTTCACCCAGCTGCCGCCTCTCACCACACTCCATGTGTTGGGCCACCTTGGAGGGAGCCCACCAAAGGTGTGCAAGCAGCGTCTCAGTGGCGGACGAGGGGCCGAAAGGACACGGTATTGAGCTGGCACATGTCCCTTCCCCCCGTGCCCACACATGTCAGGGGTGCCCCTGACCTCTCACCCTGGCTCTGGGGTTGTCTATTGCCTGAGAAAGTTGCCCGGCCACAGGGCTGGTGCAGGTCTGCAACCCTGCCTCACTGCACCCCAGCCTAGGGACCGTCAGCCAGAGGAGCGGAGGACTGGCGTACAGGCAATTTTCTCCAGAAACAAATGGAGAGAAATTGCTCTAACAGGCGAACAGCCTCTGTTTCAAGCTAATTTCCACATAATAGAATCAAACTGCTTCCCTTTCCTCTCCGCTGTCTCCTCTGCATAATTTGACAAATTGCAAACGCGATTTGATTCAGGGATTGAACACAGGCTCAGATTCTTTTCAACAGTCATGGACAAAAGAGGGTAGAGAGAAGGCAGAGTCTCCTCAAAGTGCTGGTTGCTGCACTCCATAGGAGGTGACAGTGCAGGGACAGCCAATGTCACAGGTCCCAGAAGCTGCTCCACGACTCACTTGGGAAGGGGGGAGCGGCGGGGCCAGAAGCCAGGGGCTGGCCAAGCTCAACATTCCTCCACCACTCCCCACAGGCAAGCCATGCCATCTGGGAAGGGCCTCGGTCCAGGGATTTGATGTGCAATATGTCCTGGGGGCCTCGTGGGGGAAGGCTCCGAGTGTGCCTGGCACACCCAGCCTCACACCCAGCCAAAAGCAAGGCTTGTGCTTGCACTGCCGACTCAGTGACGTGGTGAGAAGCCAGGAGAGCAGCTGTCCCCCGTCCTGCCCACAAAGCTGCCAGACCCTCGCCTGTCTCCCAGCTCTCCAGTCACCCTCATCTTGCCACTTCTCATGTGGCTCCCAGAGCTATGTCAGCCATCCCTGACACCACACACTCTGGTTCTCTTCCTCACAGAGAGACATACAGACTAGTACATCCCACGTGAGCTTCTCAAAGTCCAGCACACAGTAGGTGCACATGCCTACATACACACACACACAGACTAGTACATCCCACCCGAGCTGCTCCCAGACCAGCACACAGTAGGTGCACATGCCTACACACACACACACACACAAACACACACACACACACTCAGAGACTAGTACATCCCACGTGAGCTTCTCCCAGTCCAGCACACAGTAGGTGCACATGCCTACACACACACACTCAGAGACTAGTACATCCCATGCGAGCTGCTCCCAGTCCAGCACACAGTAGGTGCACATGCCTACACACACACACACAAACACACACACACTCAGAGACTAGTACATCCCACACGAGCTTCTCCCAGTCCAGCACACAGTAGGTGCACATGCCTACACACACACAGACAGACAGATACACACACACACACACACACACAGGCATACATACAGATTAGTGCATCCCACATGAGCTTCTCCCAATACAGCACACAGTAGGTGCCCATGCTACAGCCTGCCTGGGAGCACTGAGACCCCCGTAGGCCTCCCTACCCTCAAGCTAGCATGCATGGGACACAACAGAAGAACTTGGATATTTCTGTCCACTAAAAGACTATTTTTAAGGAGAAATTGTTATTTCTGGCAGTACTTATTTTATAACTATACAAACGCTCCATGAAACCAGACTCGGCTGTAAGAAGTGTCCATCTCTTGTAGTGCTGTTCCCAAGTCTCTCTAGGTATCCCTGGCGTCTCATCAGATGTGCCTGTAAGCAAGTGGCCCCAGGGAGGGGCAGAGATCCCATCCACCCTATGACCCTGAGTTGTAGGGTTGGAACCAAAGCCTACCGCCCCTCTCGCAAAGAGAGACCTTTGGGGTAGCACAGCAAAGACAACTGGAGACTATGACTAAGGCACCCCTCAAAGAATGGACACTCAGAGAGCCACGAGGTCTTCCTGGGAGCTGAGGACCCTGAGGGAGAAAGGACAACAGAAACAAAAGAACAGAAGATAGAGGCAGAAGGCAGGGTCCTGAGAACAAACCCTAAATGGGGGAGCCAAGATGGTGGGCCAAGCGGACCTTGGGGGCCAGGCCGGGCCCAGGCGAGGAAGGGCATCTGGGATGCCCCTGGAAATTCTGGAGACTAGTGTATGCATATGCAATGCAAACTAACTAAATACCAGCTGGATAGACAGACTTAAGGAGGTGAGTCTGTTGGCAAAACATCCACTGTGTTTCAAAGCCAAAAATATGTGCTTTAGGGACAACGTGCGGTCTGTGACAAGTTGGCCCCACAAGGCGACGGATGGAGAGCCAACTTGTGGCTTGTGTTCAATCCATCAGTCGGTGGTCAGTCTACACATGCCCGAGGCCCAGCGGGGAAAGGCCTGGCAGCCAAGGGAGGTGGGAGCCACCTGTCCTCTGACCCTCCTCTGGAGGACGGGGAGACGAGGAGAATTCTGGTAAAGGTAGGCAGGGAGAGACCGTGAAGGTACGCCATGTAGAACCTGGGAAGATAGGATTGCCAGGCATTCTCTGGTAGGATGAGGCCATGTAGAAATACTTAGGTTAATAGAAATGATTTAATAAATAAGACAGAGCTAGCCAATAAGAAGCCCTAGACATCGGCCAACAGTTCAATAATTAATATAAGTCTCTGTGTGTTTATTTGGGGCCAGGCAGCTGCGGGACCAGCAGGGACAAGAAACCCCAGCAGCGACAGAGCTAGCCAATAAGAAGCCCTAGACATCGGCCAACAGTTCAATAATTAATATAAGTCTCTGTGTGTTTATTTGGGGCCAGGCAGCTGCGGGACCAGCAGGGACAAGAAACCCCAGCAGCACACGCCTAAGCAAGAATTGGAGGCTTGGGTTTCTCTAAAACAGCCCCAAGGCTCTGAAGGGGGCGGGCGCTTCCGTGGGCAGACTCACAGCTCTGAGGGTCCCTCGAGCTTCCTGCTTTCCCAGTGGTTACCAGAATACTCCAGGAACCAGCACCCAGACATGCCAGCTATTTCTTAAAGTTAGGCGGGGAAAGATGGGTCCCCACTGCAGACAAGGGTTAATTTAGTCATGTAGTAGCTGGTGGCAGCCGCATACATGATTTTTTTTTCAATAAGAACATGTCACATCTTCTGCTCTGCGTATAGACGGCTGTGCACAGGCCAGCTGGATGGGAGCTGCTGGCCCGCTGCCGGATGCCAGCTTGCACCCTAACGCCAGGCAGGAGTCGCCGGTCGCTACCTCAAAGTGCTGTACCCTGACATTTCTTAAGAGCACCCACACTCGCACTCCTCAGGAATCTGAACAGCCTGTCGTGAACACTAGAGCTGAGGCAGGCACTCTGGCTGGGGTTCAGTGGACGCTGTCACAGTCAGACTCCTTCATGAGCTGGGGTCCAGTAAAGAGAAATGGGAGTTTGTCACCAGGGGCAAACTCCAGCCGAGGCCTAGAGGGAGTCCACTGTCAGCAGGGTAGCTGTGGCACTCAGCTGGAGGCTGACGAGGGCGCTCCCGTGAAGTGACGTTCACATAAGAACTCAAAGGACACCAGCCCGAGGAAGACGCAGGAAGCCAGGCGTGGGGCACTGGGAAGGCATGCTGGAAACCGAGGAGGGAGGAGCTTGGTGAGCTGCAGGGAGATGGCCAGTGGAGTGGAGCCCGAGACAAGAGAGCACGGGAGCGCACAAGGCTGGACCACCCAGATCCCGCCACGGCGCTGGACTGGCAGGTTTTTAGTAGAAGAGATGCACGCCCGCATGTGTTTTAAGAAGCCGTTTCAAGGCCGTGCGCTCATCAAAGATGAGCAAGCCACGGCTCAGCCAGGAGGGGAAGGAAACCGGATCTCCTGCAAGGCAGAGCTAGGCACCATGGCACAGGGAGAGGCGGAACGCAGGGGTGATTCTGTGGCTCTCCCACGTGACGCAGGGCCTGCAACCTGCATGGACCCTGGGACAGGGAAGCGCAGGTGGGGTGTGGCGGGCAGGTCAGAGCCAGGCAGCCACCTGTCCAACCTCTGCCCACCTTTTACATCGTCTTCCACTTGGAGATGGTGATGTAATTACACCCTTTCCCTTTCCTCCCTTGCTCCTTTTCAAATTCACGCTGCTTTTTTATTAGTTGTTGTTACGTAATATGTGTGGGTGTGCATACATACACATGTGTGTGGATATATATGTGCATTTGATGTATTCAGATACCTAAATATGTATACATATGTAACATATATATACATGTGTGTGTGTGTGTGTATACATACGTAAGTACGCTGCTCAGTTTGCATGTATGTTTTCAGGGATGACCATTTGGTACTGGATAACCAACAGGTATGTTCTTCCCCAGGGAGTCCTTGGAGGCGAATCTGTTTTGTTTAAAACAGTGTAACTCCTAACTATACTCTAAATATTTGTCCTTAAACCCACAGGTACGTGTAGTCCTTACCCTGCATCAAGGAAACTTCTCTTTGCAACAGATGGAGAAACGCAGAGTTGTGGGTCCCCCGTCCCAACGGATTCATTTATGAACCTGGCACCTAGGGCTCAGGAGTCACTGTAGAAGAGGCGGGGCCAGAAAGGTGGAAAGATCTAGAGGCCCAGGGAGTTGCTGTGCGACTGTCTCCCAAGAATGTCAGCAGCTACACCCGTAAAGTCTCACTAGCATGACTGCCCAACCGGGAAGGAGCCGGACAAGGACAAGGGACTTGGGAACGCAGATGGAGAGGAAGTCCCCAGAGGCCTAAACCCCACACAGAAAGAACCGCAGGTGCTTTTTAAAGGCGCTCTAGCATACATACACAAGGCAAGACAAAAGAGATACAAGGCAGACCCCAGCATCTTGGCTGCAATCCTCCCTCGTCCTCCAGGGAAACTGACTGTGCCCTGTGTTCTTTGCTCTTGTGTATAGGACTTGGTAGAGTTAGGACGTAGCTGTGTTCAACGGCTCCCTTCCAGGGGGATTCTCTGCACAGGTATTGGGTGGGACAGGTGTCCCCTTTTCCAAGTGAGGGCCTGGGCAGTCCCCCACAATCCTGCTCTGACTGGGGGGGCTGGGTTCCAGGGTCACTTGACGTTATAAGCACAGCCCCATTTGGACAGTAGAATTCCTGGTCCCTTCTGGGAACCAAGCAGAGAGCCTGCAGGGGATAAACAACCCCCTACCTCAGGGAACCGCTGCCCCACACCACCTCTTGTGAGAAGGGCTGCTGTTTCCTCAGCTCTGAGGCCTGGCTCTCAGAAGCCTTCTCTTCCCTTTCCTGCTTTCTCTTCCTCTTCCCCTCCTCACCTACGCTCCTTCTGCCACCTCTCTCTGAATCTATTCTTCCTCTGGTCTACATTGTAGCCCCTGCATGGCCTACCCCACATGGCCACATGGGATGTGGGATCCTCCATAACCAGCCCTGGCTTGGGGAGATGCAGCAGGTCCCAGTGCCTTGGTTTGGCCCCCGAGCCCATCTGTACCTGGATGTGAGAGCAGCCTCCCATCGCCACCCAGAGGCACAGGCCCACACCCCCAACCTCACCTCTCACCGCTCCTGCATCCTGGGGTGGGACTGGGGAGCAGGGCAGATGGACACGACATGGGGATGGACGGGACAGCTCTTTACAGCCTGAGACCACTTATACTTTCTTTGGAAAATCCATACATGCTCTGTTTGCAACCCTCCATGGCTGTCTCAGGGATACATGATCTCAGCGTTTCCTTCAAAGCGGCCTTCAGGGCGGCACATGCTGTACCTAGAGCCCCGAGACCCCTTAAAGCCCATCCCGCAAGCTTCTCCCAGGCTGGGCTTGCTTCTGAGCCTCCCCGCACCGGGCCTCTCCTGTGGGGCTCTCTCCCCACTGCTCCCTCTTCGCAGGCCTCTCTTGGTGAGACCGTGCCCCCCCCCCAGCCTGCTTCACACTCCCCGATGTCCCTCTACTGATGGTTTAGTCACTGTGGTCCATTTGTTATGGCCAGTGAACCCATGTTGGTGTATTTTTAACGGGAGCCCAAGTCTTACTCAGATTCCCTAGTCTTTCTCTGGCGTCTGCTGTCTGTTCTAGGATTCTAACCAGGACCCCAGTGACCACGCATCACCCAGTGCATCAGGCTCCTCTTCCCCCTTGCTTTCGATGACCCCAACAGTTTGGAGGACTGTTGCTCAGTGGGAGGGCTGGGGTGTCGACGATGACCCTCCTTTTGGACTTCTCTGATGTTTTTGTTGTGATTAAACTGGTTTGTGGTTTTAGGAAGATCATTGGGCAAAATGCGACTCTCCCTGCACCAAATCAAGGGCAGATGTTGTCCACAGGCCCTGGTCTTAGTCACCTATTGAGGCCCTGCCTTACGATTTCTTCCCTCCATTAGGCTCCTGGGGAGGAGGACATGGGCTCAGAGGATATGCAGAGGCCATCGGGATGTCTTCTGCGCGGGAAGCTCTTCTTGCCTTCCTTGTTTATTTACTTATTTATCTAATCACTGGTTTATATTGTGGTAGATTCATAGATATTAATTTTATGCTTTAGATTAAAATCTGTGAGTGTATTTTATTGCTGCAGTTGCAGCTCTGTTCATAGGAGTGCTGCAAGTTTGTCCCTGTGTCCCTCAGACATCATGTGTGAATGCGTGTGTGTGTACATGTATGTGCATGAGTGTGTGCATGTGTGTGCATAAGCATGTGCATGTGTGTAAAGTGCATGTGTGTGTGCCTGTGTATGTGTTTGTACATTTGTGTGCATGAGCATGTGCTGTTGTGTGTACAAGTACATGTGTGTGCATGTGTGTGCGTGCACGTGTGCACACATGCACATGCCCAGGGAAAGTGGTTTGATGCACGAGGTGTTTCCAGAGAAGGCAGCCTCAAGGGGAGCCATTGTCACTCCCTGTGAGACAGATGCTCCCAGTACCTGTCCTGCCACCCTCCAGTGTTACACACACCCTCCAGTGTCTGGTGTTACACACACCCTCCAGTGTCTGGTGTTACACAACCCTCCAGTGCCTGGCGTTACACACACCCTCCAGTGTCTGGTGTTACACAACCCTCCAGTGTCTGGTGTTACACACACCCTCCAGTGTCTGGTGTTACACAACCCTCCAGTGTCTGGTGTTACACACACCCTCCAGTGTCTGGTGTTACACACACCCTCCAGTGTCTGGTGTTACACAACCCTCCAGTGCCTGGTGTTACACAACCCTCCAGTGCCTGGCGTTACACACACCCTCCAGTGCCTGGTGTTACACAACCCTCCAGTGTCTGGTGTTACACAACCCTCCAGTGCCTGGGTGTCTGGTGTTACACACACCCTCCAGTGTCTGGTGTTACACACACCCTCCAGTGTCTGGTGTTACACAACCCTCCAGTGCCTGGTGTTACACAACCCTCCAGTGCCTGGCGTTACACACACCCTCCAGTGTCTGGTGTTACACAACCCTCCAGTGTCTGGTGTTACACAACCCTCCAGTGCCTGGGTGTCTGGTGTTACACACACCCTCCAGTGTCTGGTGTTACACAACCCTCCAGTGTCTGGTGTTACACACACCCTCCAGTGTCTGGTGTTACACACACCCTCCAGTGTCTGGTGTTACACACACCTGTGAACACACACCTGTGAACACACACCTGTGAACACACACACTAGTGCCTGGTGTTACACACACCTGTGAACACACACACCTGTGAACACACACCTGTGAACACACACCTGTGAACACACACACCTGTGAACACACACACTAGTGCCTCTGCATGTCTGTTGATTGTGCTGTTCTTCCATGACTCAGCTGCTACCTCAGGGCCTGGAGGCGGCTGTGGGGTTACCTACCCCAACTGGACACCCTCGGGGTCTCCCTGCCTCTGCTCTGAAGGAGCCTCGGGAGTTCCTGGGGTCCCCACTTGTCTTCCCGTGCTGACTTGGGTGGCCTGACCGAGCCTCACCTTACATCCTCCAGCAGGCAGGTGACCTGGGAGTGTCTTTCTACGAGGCTTCTCTTCTGAGTCTGGGCTCCTCAGTCAGCCTTGGATGAGCAGGCCTGGCACTCCTGCTGGTGGCCAGCGTGGCAGGGTCCCCACCTAGACGAATCAGACTGGCAGAAGAGCTGTTCCCACAACGAAGGCAGACTGCACTCCCACATCATCCACAGAAACACTCAAATAGCTTCAAGCTGTTGGTTCAGACGGCAGCGGGATCCCCAAAACAAACAAACACGGGCTTGAAAGGCTGTTAGCATGCTCCCACACAGATCCTCCTCCCAGCTGAGGCAGATAGACATACCATGTGGAGACGGGGCCGACGGTTCCTCGGGCTCCTGGGGCGGCCTGGATGATACCACTGCCTTCAGGAGGCTCTGCCCAGCAGCAGCTTGCCCTCTTCACCCGTCTTCTCACCCGACTCCAAGAAGGAGACGGCCCAGGGAGGCTGCACCAGTAGCTGAGCTACCCCAGAGACACCTGGAAGGACCAGTGCTCAGGACACAGAAGGGCGGGCTGTGGAACAGGCCGCTCTGGGCGGCTTTACAAGGGACATTCAATCATCTATTGCCTTCCGTTTCTGGAAGTCAGGGTCCCAAACCAGGTACGTGTGGGTGAGAGCACGCTCCCTCTAGAGCCGCTGGAGAGGACCCTTCTCTGCCTCTTCCGCTGCCATAAGTATGTCCCTTCAATGAGCTGCCTACACTGCCTGATGCCAGGTGTAGCAATCCCCACCCCCGTTAAAGGCTAGTAGGTCACAGAGGCCAGACCACTAGCTATGAGTCTCCAGACCAGGCACTGCCCTGTGGCTCCCATCTGTCCTGGGATCCACAGGGGATTCTGCACTTAGCTCATGATAATGGCGGAATGCACACTTGGTTAGGACAGTGGGAGGATTAAGTGAGGCAGCCACTGATCAAGGGACAAGGGCCCATGTCCCCAAGGAGTACCGAACGAGACTCCCAGGGTTTACTGGGCATACTGGGTACCCTGGCTTCTTAGCCTGAGCTGAGTTCACCTTCTGTCTTCCTCCATGACTCTCAACCAAAATCCAAATGGGAACTTCATTGTCAAGGAGAGGCAGACAGGTGTTTTACAATGTCCGTGGCTATTAGTTTTGAATGCCATCTTGCCACAATGCAGAAATATTTGGAGAAAATAACGGTTGGTCTTCAGTCATGTCTTGATTATTAATTGACGTAGGGAGACCTACCTCCCCCAGCCCCCACCCCACCCCCGGCCGCCAATTTGGGCAGCGCCATTCCCTAGGCAGAAGGTCCTGAATACAACTGGAGAAAAGCAGGAGCAAACATGGCGCATTCCTTTTCTCTGCTCTTGACTGGATCTGATGTGATGAGCTGCGGGAGTCCCTGCCTCGACTTCTGGAAACAATAATCAGCAGCTTGGAACTGCAAGCCAAATAAGCCCTTTCCTCCCTGTGCTGCTTCTGGTCAGGACATGTTTATCACTGCAACAGAAATGGAACCAGAACCATGTCACATAAGATGACAGCTGTGAGCTATGGAGATGTCCCAAATTCAGGAAACCCGTGGGATGGTGAGAACAAAGGAGCTCATACCCCAGGAGCCAGGGAGGTAATTTTGGTCCTGCTAGTGAAGGGTGCCGCTTAGCAGAACCTGAGTGGGAGGAAGGGCTGCTCTGTGTCCCCATCACTCCTTCCCCAGGACTCACCACGAGGAGACCCATCCACACGGAGACCTGTGGGAGGATCCACAAGAGTTCTCTCTGCAGGCAGCCAAGAAGCCCCAGGAAACCTGACCGCACAGGAGAACAGGGAATCTGGGTGGTCCTTTGCTTCAGACACATTCCTCCAACAGGAGGCATCCATCAGCCATGCAAGAGCCCAGGGACCAGGAGGAGGGGCAGGCAGCAGACGGCTTCCGCGGGGCAAAGTTCAGCGTGAGCAGTCACGGAGACCCAACAGAGCTGCTGAAGGAGGGGCATGACAGGGCAGATGCTAGCAGCCACCCCAACTAGGTGTGCCTCTTAAGCTCAAGTCCATGGGTGAGACCAAGGCAGCCACAGACAGGCTCTGCGGTGGTCACTCCACCGCAGGGGCTCATGGGCAGGCTACAGACCCTTCTTAAATATCCAAAGACAGGATTAGAAAGAGCCAAGGGCAAAGACCTAAAACATGGTAACCAGGGATTTACTATCCAATAAACCTATCTTGAAGTATAAAGAAAACAATTCTCAGCACACTGAGCGGGTATTCGGGCTGCCCCTACGTCGATGCTCATAGCGCACCCCTCCTCTCAGAAGTCCTCTGTTCTCAGAGGGGAAGAGGGCTTCAAGGATGAGAGGAACAGACGAAATGTGAATATGGATGGCACGCTGGACGAGGGCATTCTGTGAGCAAGGGAGGTGCACGCCCTGTCGAGAGACAACCCCGTTCTCAGAACACACCTGCCAAAGCAGACGGCATCAAACAACAAGCAGACCCAAGAAAAGCCAACAGGGCTACTTTTTGCTTTGTTACTTGTTGTGGCTTCTTGTTACAATTAAAATTGTTACCAGTTATTAAAAAAAAAACAAAGGAAGCAAATGTTCCAGAATGTTCCAGATTGGATGACAAATGGTTGGGTCTGCCAGCCTGTGAGCTCCTAGTCAATTACAGAGACAACAGACCTCACAGACACAGAAACACAGTAGCGCCAGGGGCTGGGCTCTGAGCCCATCTCGCTGTGAAACTGGGCCCAGGTAGCAGAAGAAACCAAGTGAGGTGTAAGAGTTAAAGCTATAAGCACTGATAATATGTAAAGTCAAATTAAATTAGCAAAATTAGGAAAAGTAGAGAGATTCGTGTGTGGTTGTTCCTCACTGTCAACTCGCCCCGGTTTGGAGCCACCCAGGAGACACACCTGCAGAAGGGGTTTTCTGAGAGGTTTAACTGAGACCACCCTGAATGTAGGCAGCGCCATCCCACAGGCTAAGGTGTCAGATTAGGTGAAAACAAAAACAAGGAGCCCAGCTGAATATCTTTCTCCTTTCTCTACTTATTGGTCAGCATGGCATCCGCCAAGCCACTCCCATCATGCCTTCCTCACCGTGGTGGGCTTCATCCCTCTAAACTGTGAGCCAAAATGAGCTCTTCCTCCCTTAAGTTGCTTTTTGTCAAGTATTTAATCACAGGAAAGGTAGCTAACACAGTTTGGAATTTAAAAAAATAACTCATAGGGACTGGAGAGATGGATTGCTCAGTGGTTAAGAGCACTGTGTGCTCTCACTGGCTGCTCTTCCAGAGGACCAGAGTTCCATTCCCAGCACCCACATGGTAGCCCGAAACAGCCTGTAACTCCAGTTCCAGGGGATCCAACCCCCCCCAGGGCACCAGACATAAAAATAGTGCATATAATTGGAGGCAGAACACCCGCACACACGATAATAACAATGATAATAATATTTAAATAACGTTTCTGGAATAGTTGAGTGCACACAGCGCAATGAGACCTTCACAGTGGCTTCCAGCTGTCTTCACAGTTCCTCAAGCAATGATGGTATGTGGATTATTGTTAGACTCAAACACGTGACATGGGATGCTTTGTCTAACACATCATGGTCTGATGCCACTACAGTCAAGTCCTCTCTCGTCTCTACCTGTCTCTCCAGTTTGACTGTGCCATTGCAGCAGGCATTAATTAGCACTAAGGGTCTCCAGCATTATCTGACTTCAGGTCACCCTTGTCAAGTTCTTGCTCATCTTGCAGTCAGTTGTGTCTCTACTGAAGTCTGTTTCTCTTCCCCAGAGACCGACAGAACGAAGACCCAGGCACCAGGTGCATCACTGATGTGGGGATGGCCCACATAGAGACCCCTAGACAGAGTAGAGACTCCAGTCTGCACAGCCACATGCACGGGTGTGGGCGGTGCTCTGTGTGCAGCCACGCCCACCTACGTTGTGATGATTAGCCTTGACTGTCAACTTGATGGGATCTGGACTCACCTCAGAGGTGCACCACTGGGTGCATCACGAGATGCCTTCTGGAGGGGGTAAACTGAGGGAGAAAAGGCTGTCCTTGGAGTGAGTGACACCTTCCTGCAGGTAGCCCAGATATGAAGAGGTCTGAGGAACAAACAGTGTTTTCTGTCTGTCTTTATCGCTTTGTGGAATAAAGTGTGTCAATCATTGCCACTGCTGCCAAACTCTACAGCCTTCAGACCTGAACTAAAGAACAGCACGTGACTCCCCAGACAACCCCTGACACCCCACCACAATGGTGGTGGTCATTATTGGACTACATAGCTCGTCTCATGCCAGGCAATATGATAAATTCCCTTTGTGACACATGTTGTTCCTCTGAAGTTCTTACACATATTGTGACAAACACAAGTCCAAAACATTGACGTTCCAGCCAATTCCCCGCCTCCCAGATCTCTGTGTCTCCTCCTCTCGCCTGCCTCAATTCTCCCTGAGAAGCCAGACTCTTCACCTGCACAGACCACTCCATCCTTCAACTTGCGTGTGGCCTGGTGTCCCTGGAATCCTGGCCCTGTGTAAGCACATAACCACCCAACCTCCAAGGTCGGTGTGTGGTTTCTCTTGCCTTTAGACTCCACCTACTCCCCAAGTGACCTGGGCAGTCCCTGCTCTGCCTCTCCATAAATCCATCCCACTCATAAATGAGCAATGGCATTAGATGCATTTCTAGGCCTACCTAGGGCTCCTGGCCTCCTAAGTAATGGGCATTTTCCCCTTTTTTATATAGTGTCATGTGTGTTGCTGTTTTTCCTGCATGTGTGTCTGCATCATGGTGCCTGACAGAAGATAGCTTTGCATCCACTAGAACTGGAGTTGCAGACAGTTGTGAGCTGCCATGTGGGTGCTGAGAATCAAACCTGGGTCCTCCGGGAGAGCAGCCAGTACTCTTAACCACTGAGAAATCTTCCCAGTCCCCTAAGCAATGCTTTAGCTTGTACTGAATAGTCACACGGGCCACAGAGGCCTGTGCATTTTGTTCCGTATGCTTCCAGAGGCACAGAACAGCTTCATCTGGTGGGCTCTTCGTTCATCTCTCGCTCCTGCTTCGTACAGTTCAAATTTGAAACTCCCCCGCAGTCTTGTGTTTCGAATGCCAGCTGCCCAGCCGCTGGAACTGTTTGGAGAGACTACGGAAAGTTTACGAGGTGGGACCTGGCTGTCAGAAGTAGACCGCTGGGGTAGCCTTTGAAGGTGGTCCCTGCTTGTCATCCCAGCTCCGAGTTTTCCACTTCCTGGTCTGCCATGACTCCAGGGACTCCTCTGCACACTCCAGCACCAAGATCTCTGTTGTACCCTCCTGCCGTAATGGACCCCGACCCAAGTACAAGTTGTGTCTGCCAGCCATCTTGTCAGAGAGAAAAGCAAACACTCTTTGTTTCCAGGAAGCCTCTGGTCTCCTTTCTGTGTGTGATTTTACCTTTTCAGAAAGACAAAGTTGGAGTCTTTAAGAAAGTGTTTTCTTCTTGTGTGTGCCACGGTGTGCGTGCAGAGGTCCAAGGACAATCCGGTTCCTTCCTTCCACCTATAGCTGAGTTCTGGGGCTTGAACTCAGGTCTCCAGTCTTGACGAGCCACCTCAGGAGCGCAGAAAGACACACTCAGAATGATCCAGTAGGCAGCCTCTGCACACGGAGGCTCTGCTGTGCCTTACTGTGCCTTTCTGTGCCTCGGGGACTGGCGTTCCCGTGGCTGGGCGCTTCCTCTAAGAATGCACGGATGTTTACCTCCGCACCTGCTGGCAGCTGAGGCTGCTTCCTGTTCGGGTGATTGTGAAGAAAGCTGGGGTAAACATTCATGAGCAGCCTTTTGTGTTGACACACATTTTCAAATCAATTGGATGAACACCAAAGAGCACAATTGCTCGGTCTTATGGTGGGAGAGTGTGTACCGTGTAAGGAAATGCCAAACTACTTCCCATCGTGGCTATGTCATCCTGCATGCCACCAGCCATGCCCAGTGACACATGCTCACTAGCGTTTGGTGCTGGCAGTTCTGTGAAGTTTTTGTTTTGGTTGGGTTTTTCTTTTCCTTGTAATCTGTGTGTGGCGGCATCTCCGTGTTTAAATTTGCAATTCCATCGTAACAAATGGCTTTGAATGTCTTCTCACGCCATCTGTCCATCTGCGGCGGTGAGCCGTCTCTCCAGATCTCTTCCCATTGTTAATCAGGGTGTTTGTTTTCTGATTGCTTAGCGCTGGGGTTTCTTTGTAGACTTTTTATGAACACCACATGAGAGGTTGAAGACACACAATGGACATGTATAAAAACACTCTAACCCACAGCCCTCAGCAGCCTGGAAAACAGACCTCTATCCTCCCGGCCCAGCCCAGGAAGCCTGCTTTTGTGTGCTGGGCTTTCAGGAAGTCAGGTCAGCTGCAGCTCAGGAAGTCGTGCAATGAACTCTGTAAGTACAGACAGCAGGACACGATTACACGAAAGCTTCCATGACCTTGTTCCCTACTTCCCACCTAGAATCGGGGACCAGCCAGGGAAAGCTGAATGCGACTCCTAGCCTTCCCACAGGGGACCTATCCCAGAGCCTGGCTGCATGCAGCCCAGACCAACAGCCCACCAGGGGCATCTCCAGCCATGACATTACCTGCCCTCACTTCTCAACAGTGACTTCAAGAGCTGACGTGCACCCCCAGTGGTCAACCCAGGCAGCGCACCCTTGTCTGCCCAATCCTTGTTCTCCACAGTGCCTTCCAGGAGCATGACCACATTATTCAAAGCCCATTTTCCTTCAAGGCTCAAGCTTTGGGGGAAGCCCTGGGTCAGCAACTGCATAGTTGTCTGTGCACAGCTTGTTGCTGGATCTGTTTTACTTCTGGCTCAGTGGCCTCCCTGCTCTGCATCTTGCATTTGCGTAGGGGCTGGGTCTGGGTCAGACGCTTCCCTCTCAGTCAGCCCTGGAGCGGGATGCTCTGTTGGGTCTTGGTTGCAGCAGTCTCACTTGGAATGAGGCCATGCCCAGGAGCACAGATACCCGGGGTGGGTCCTTGGGTCACAGCTTCAGGGGCAGGGCGGCTGTCCTTCCCTGGGGTCATTGCATACAGAAGAGCAGGAGTCCGGTGACCACAGCCGACAGGAGCATCAGAGCTATTCTCCTGTTCTGAAATCAGACAGAGCCAGGGACTATGGACAACACAGCTTACCAGGGCATCTTCAGGACTGTTCTCACATGGGAGGAACTGTAGCTCTGAGGACAGGTGGCATGGCCTGCACCTGTAGAGCCTCATGGGAAGAGGGGTGCCACTGACATCACATGAGTACAAGCCAACATACTGTTGAGCATGTAGCCACGCAGAGGAAACACACACACGCACATGCACACACACACACACACACACACACACACACATGCACACACAAGCCTTGTACACCTGTGAGAGGAAGAATCAGTCAAACACTGCTAACAGCGCTGAGGGCAGGAGGCCTGGCTTGCAGGAACTACTTTAAGCACCACAGAACAGGACGAATGCCTCATGGGTACCGTTGCCTTTGGTTGTCCGGGGACCACTCATGACTGGCTTAGATCCGCCTTTATCCAGGACCACCGGTCACTGTGAGTCTCCTGCCAGGGACAGGTGGAAATGCATTTTATCACCAAATGCAAGAAATCCCCTTGGCAGCACGGACCTGTTCCGTCCCTGAAAGCCTTCTAAAGTGGTCACGCTTTACTACACAGTACTAACACACACAAAAGAATGTTGAGAAACAGCTGACCTGAACAAGGGGGAGCTCATAGACCCCAGACTGACAGCTGGAAAACCAGCATAGGACCAACACCTGAACGTGGGTGTCAGTTAGGAGGGCTGGTTAATCTATGGGGCCTTTGGTAGTGGATCAGTATTTATCCCTCGTACACGAATTGACTTTGGGAGCCCATTCCAGATAGAGGGATACTCTCTCAGCCTAGACACACGAGGAGGAAGGCCTAGGCCCTGCTCCAAATGATATGACAGACTTTGAAGATCCCCCATGGAAGGCCTCACCCTCCCTGGGGAGTAGAAAGGAGATGGGATAGGGGATCGGTGGGAGGGCAGGGGAGGAGGGGAGGGGACTGGGATTGACATGTAAAAGAAGCTGGTTTCTAATTTAAATAAATAAAAAAACGTAAGAAAGAATGTCACAATACACATGAAAGTTAAGAACACAGTAGTAAGCCCCCAGGAAACAAGACCCAACTTGAAAATCAATCGCAGCCACCCCCTTGGTCCTGCCTGCATCTCAGGCCTCTCCATGTGCACTGGGTTTGGTTTGTGGCACTAAAAATGACACCACGCCCCGTGTCTCTCTAGCACCCATCTGTTATCATCAACCATGCCTATGCACATCATGGTTACTGCTCGTAATATTCTGCTGTGTCAATAGATGACATTTAGCCATTATCTCGCTTATGAACATGCGAGCAGTTTCCAGGTTTTTGCTTTAGACATTCTTGGATACAAAATCCCAGTGCACAAGCCAGTGTCTCAGACTTTGTTAACAGGAATCAGAACGGATGACCACTAAGTGAACATTATCTTCAGTTCCACAGGAGAATGTCACACCACGCTTTCTTTTCTAAACAGACCTTAGAGTGTGCAAACAGACGCCCACCACAAGGCTATGAGGTACACATAGAATCTACGTGTATCTATATTATAGATAGTAAAATCACTCAAGGAAAGCTGGCTAGCGTATCCGTCCCCTCGCCCTACAAACAGCTGCAGTGATCCGCCCAGCAACGTGTGGACGTCATGCCCGTGTAGCGCGTGGGTCCCCACTGTTACACACCTTCTCACTTAGCTTTGCTAGGATTCTTGGGCTTTCCCTAACCTGACGGCCAAAATACAGTATCTGGTCACTATCTTGATTTTCTCCTGCTCGTTGGCCACCCCGACCTGCTCCTCTGGACTTCAGTCTGCTTTCCCTGCTCCTTGCCTTATGGGCTACCGTGAGCCTGCTTTCCCTGCTCCTTGCCTTACGGGCTACCGTGAGCCTGCTTTCCCTGCTCCTTGCCTTACGGGCTACCGTGAGCCTGCTTTCCCTGCTCCTTGCCTTACGGGCTACCGTGAGCCTGCCTTTTGTCATTCCTGGGTTTCTTCTGTCCTCTCACAGCTCTGATTTCCTCATCAAGGGTACCTGTTTATTTATCTGCTTGTCTGCTTGCTGTGCCTTTGTGTTTTTCATGTATGCGTGAACGAGAGGAGGCCAATGACGGGCCACAGACTCCCTCGGAGCCGGGCGTGATGGAATGGTGAGCCACCCTACAAGGATGAGAAACAGAACCGGCGGTCTCCACGAGGGCTCGCTTCCTCGTTGCTACTTCATAACTGTAATTTTGCTACTGTTATGAATTGTAATGGAAGCATCTGATGTTTCTGATGGTCTTAGGTGACCCCTGTGAAAGGGTCACAACCCACAGGTTGAAAACTGCGAATAGCTTTCCTACTGAGATGGTCATATTATCTGCAGAGGGTTCTGTTTCCTATCGGGACATTGTTTCTCTTTCTTGCAGTATTGGTCAGCTGGAACTGTGCAATGCAGGGTCCAAGTGTCCAGGGTGAAGGTCTTCTTCTCTTGTCCTCCGTCTTGGCCTTTAGAAGCCTGTCGCTGGGGAATGTCCCCTGATAGTCTCATCTGCTAGCGTTCTCACTAAAAGAGGAGGCTGGGATTATTCTTAGTTTGGCATTTCTGAATACTTCCTTTCTTTCCCGTTTATTAATTTGACACTTTATATTAATTGGTGTCTGATACTGTCACCCTCCCGTTCTTGACTTAACCACTGCCTTGTAGGAAGGGTTATACTGTTTCTTCCAACATGCTTGCCTGCTTGCTATGATTTGAGTAAGCGCTCTCCCAAAGACTCGTGTGTTAAAGATTTGGTGCCTAGCCTGTGGCACAGTGCTGGGAAGTACTGAAAATTGACGTCAGGGCCTTGTGCGTGCCAGACAGGCACGGTGCCACTCATCTATGCCCCCTTGTGCATGCCAGACAGGCACGGTGCCACTCATCTATGCCCCCTTGTGCATGCCAGACAGGCACGGTGCCACTCATCTATGCCCCCTGACTCTGTTTAGTTTAGTTTTCAGTTTAAGACAGGATCTCACGAAGATGCCCAGAAGATGCCCAGACTGACCTTGAACTCACTCTGTAACCCAGGACTGCCTTGCAATATTCCTGTCACCACCCCACCCCCTCAGTCTCTCAATCTCAATCTCCCTCTGCCTGCTGCCTGTGGATACAGATGTAGAACTCTCAGCTGCCTCCAGCACCGTGGCCTGTGAGCCACCGTGCTCCCTACCAGGAAGATAATGGACTCTGAAACTGTAACCAGCCCCAGCTACATGTTTTCCCTTAGAAGCGTTGCTGCGGCAGGGTCTCTTTGCACAGTAATAGGACACTGTTTAAGACACACTAGCCTCGTGCTGTTCCTGAGTCAACTCTGGCAGCCTGTATCCTCAAGGAATCTGTTCATTTCATCTAAGTTACCAAACACGGTGACATAACATCCTTAACAGTCTTCATTATCCTTTCAATATCTGTAAAAGCCTGCAGTGATCTCGCATTCCTTGTTGCTAACATGAACAACTTGCCCTCTCTCTCCTTCTGGCAAATGCAACTAAAGATTTATATGTGATGTGGAGACCTCAGCAGCTTCTACACGCGTGATCTCTGTGACTTGCTATGCCATGGACCTCAGCACCTCACTGTCCCTTTCTGGCTGCTAACTTCATTTCTGTTTTGTTTTGGTGTTGGAAGGTGGGATGGTCACTTGGTTTAATGCCTTGAGATCTCAGTTTCTCTCAATGGGCGACTTTAGCCCTGTGGGGGTTTGAACAGTATGGCCCCAGTAGACTCGTGGGCTTGAAAGCTTGGTCCGTAGGGAGTGGCACCGTTAGGAGGTGTGGCCTGTTGAAGTAGATGTGGCTTTGTTGGAGGAAGTGAGTCAGAAGGGGTGGGCTCTGAGGCCTAAAGTGCTCAAGCCACACCGAGTGGTCCACAGTTCACTTCCTGTTGCCTGTGGATCAAGCTGTAGAACTCTTCAGCTACCTCCCCACCCCTACAACTGCCGGTGTACCGGCATGCTTCACGCCGTGATGACAACAGGCTAAACCCCAATTCAATGTTTTTCCTTATAAGAGGTGCCGTGGTCACTGTGTCTCTTCACTGCAAAAGAAACCCTAAGAAACACCAAACCGCAACTGACATGTTGCGTCTTCATTTTAAATATTAAAATTCTTCCTAATTTCCCTTTAATTTCTTCATAGACCAGCTGGCTAGTATAAGAGCACTATCCACTTAAGTGTTTATGGGCTTTATAGATTTCCTTTTGCTGTTAAGTTTCCATTAAAACCTGTGGTGGTCAGAGAAAACTGTGATTTGAATACTTTTCAACAGAAGGGGACTTGAGCGGTGACCCATGACACAGTGTGACCTGGCAAATGTCCCTGTTTGCTTGAGAAGAACATGTGTTCTGCTGTGTGCCTCACATCCTGGCAATAGTGACATGGTGCCATCAGTCGACGGGATTCCGGCCTTCTACTGTTCCTACCAATTGATGAGAGATGAGTACCACTACAGAGGACAGCATCCCCTGTCCAGGCACCTGCTGGAACAGCTGATGTGCTGCCCTACTGGGCTGGTGCGGATAGGATGGCCCAGAGATGTCTACCACTGCTGAGAGCACAGGGTATGAACCTTCCAGGAATAGCTTGACAGGGTTTTTTGAAATTTAAACGTACATCCCTGTGTGACAGAAATAATTTAAACACACACCTACTGCCAACATCTACCCAAGAGTAAAGAGGCTCTATGCACATACAAATGCCTACATCAGCCTTCGAATGACCAACCCAGAAACAATTGTTCCTTCGTCCCACAGAGAGCCCCTGCTGGGCATGAAGAACAGGCTGGGTCGGTGCGAGGACACACAGGGATCTCAGAGTAAATATCCTCGTTGGAAACTGTCAGATTTGAAAAGGAGAGCCTGTGTAGTAGTTTCACACGGCTCAAAGTCCAGACGATACAAAGTAACCTGTGTTGACAGACAGCAGAGAGCGTGCAGCCTAGGGAGGAGAGAGGGGAGAGCAGGACAGCGGCGAGCTATGGAAGGCTAGGATGACACCTGGAGACCGGCAAGCTAACTGGCTAGCTCATCCTGATTGTGGCACGGTTTCACAGGCTTTTACATACATCAAAATGCATCAAATTACCCGTTTTAAATATGTGTAGTTAATTGCATGTCAATTATACCTCAACA